GAAAGGAAGAAAGGGAGGAATGGAAGAAGAGTAATACTTAGAAAGAAAGAAAAAAAAATTTGAATCTATCTTGTGTTCCAGTCAACATGGCTGCCAGTTGAGTGAGCGAGGACCAAGTCATATGCAGTACAAATTCAATAACAATTTCAATACTTACGCTTGCAGACTTTTCTATGAGTGATTGGTTTATTGGGATCCTTGAAGAAGCCTTCCTTACAGTAATGGCAGTAACGCCCGTCTGTGTTGTGTCTACAGTTCATACACACGCCGCCACTGGTCCCCCCTGACAGCTTGAATAGCTCCATGTTGAACTCACATGACCGGGAATGGAGATTACAGTTGCATGCTGGGAAGACAATAGAGAGCATACATTTTATAGCACCAATCACGTGATAGAAAGAAGGTATGATTGTCATATAGAGCAGATTCATGTGCGACTGTAAAAAAAGGGGAGGACCGTGACGGTTTCTCAGCGCCTTGGTTGAATACACAGTATAAACCACGCGCTTTGATTGGACACTACAATGTGCTATGCGGTGCCGCACTGTTACTGTTTCTCAGCGCCTTTTATTGGACACGCAATATAAATCAACGCACTTTGATTGGACAATACGTTGTGTCGTGCCGTGCCGTGACCCTGCGATTGAATTGCAATTAAAATGGGTATAGTCTTCTGCACTAATTTGTACTTGTGGTCGTACACCTTTCATCAAATAATGTTTTTTAGTGGGATTAGTTGTTGTGTGTGAAATCATGATACAATTCTGGCAGAAGGTTGCAAGCCAACGTTGCACCGTCAGTCGTATTCCGAAAAAAAAGTCGTATTCTGAAAACAAGTTGAGAGTAACAAAAATTTTCCATCTCYATCGAAATGCCATCATAACCACTACGAATTCAAAATAGGGTTAATGTTTTAGCAAGATTATGAAATGAGTTGAAAGTGCTTTAGAGAGTGACGTGGGCGGTTCGCTGGCGTAAACACTAGCACAGCAACGAAAAGAATTTGCGTAGGATTCGTAATTGATTAGTTATTTACTGCAATCAGATGTAACTGTTATGTTCAATAATTGAAAAATCCTGAATTTTCCAGAGTTCAAACATCAGTTTCTGCTTTCGTAGGCTTAGCTAAATAAACGTTAACTTCAGTTAAGGAGAAACGACACGTCAAATTTGTCCATGACAATACGGACAATAGAAAGAATTTCGAAAAAAAATTCAGTGCTGTCTTGGTTAACGATTTATTCTCCCAATTAATGTTCTATTTTAGATCGATGTTAAAGACATCCGAGTCCAACTTGTCAGAGATAGAAAACCCCGTTACTGTACCTCATTACGTATACGGAACCTTGAAATCGTTTAGTACATTTTTTTGCTGTTTAGATGATGGGAATCGATGACAAATGAGATCAAAAGGTGCATCTATTCTCGCGTCAGAGAAATATAATAACATCTGAAACCATTTCTAAATATACACTCATGTGAATATAGAGTTTAGAGGCTTTGGATGGTTTGAGAAGTGTTTGAGAAAAACTGGAGAATCTTGGCGCCTTGAAAATGTTATAAAACTTTGGAGACCTCGGAAAGGATTAGGGATGAGAGCTATGTTCTAAAGAAAGTTAAACGCAATAAGACACTACTTAGTTTATTAAGAATTTTCTAGTAAAGAAGGTTCGTTGTCAGGTATTGAAGGGCGGTAAACTTAGGGAGGAAATAATCTTATTCCCTCTTGATCTCATGCAGAACCTCTGTCTGTCTTGTGGGAGAAAACTTAAAATTCATTTCCACAATCTCTCTAGTGGTGAAATTCTATACTCATCTTTGACATAAACAATGAATTCTACAGAAATTGTAAGCTTTTTCGGATACCATTTGTTTAAGGAGATGACTGATTGGAATATGACAGCTTAAAATCTAACTTAAGGCAGGCCAGACCACCAAAGAGACTGTAAAGCCCCGTTTACATTGGTCATTTTTGAGGCGATTTTTGCTGCAATTTTCGTGGCAATTTCGGAAATATGAAATCTTTTGTCTCATCCTTCAAAAGGGACATTCGTCTAGGAAAATCTTGGTATCCTGTAAAAAAAAACACTTTACAAACGCAAAAAATCGCAGCAAAAATCGCCAAAAAGATTGCTAGTGTAAACGGGGCTTAAAAAATTCTTCAACAAAATCAAAGTAGTTGAAAAGTTTCAAATTTTGCATAAAAATTTGCAAGGGAATTAGATTAGGATTCGGGAAACACGTCTCTTYATCGAGGACAAAGTGTATTAGGTTGTAACTGTTGTACTAATGAACTCAGAGATCGTTATCGTTAAGGGTTTGCTCGATTTCACAGATCATTATTTATCCTATGACAAGTGCTTCCTACCGCAGTATTTTTGATAATGTGAGTCCAATTATCGTATTAGGCGCACAACAGGACATCTAACTCAGCAACATCTCTCTCTAATTACATACCAATGCTCTACAGCATAGGCCATGCCCGTCCATCCAAACGTCACAGTACTATACTGATTTTAATATGCTCTTTCAAGCTATGGTAATGTTTTAATAACCAAAAATACCTGATGATAAAAGCTCATTCGGCTTCCATGATAAATAGGTGAACTTAATTTTATTGCATGACGTTATGGGAACAAGATCATAGAAAGAACAACAAGTCAACAAGAGTAAAGAATCTGAAGGAGATTATCTAAGGGGATGAGGCATTATTACTTGAGATTCCTAATCTTAGGTACTTCTATTGTCGCTATGTAAGGAATCTTTTGATCTCTTGCGCAACTAAACACGCTTTAAATTCTCGATCGACGCCAATATCTATTATCCCTTCCAGCTATGTATAATTATTCCCTGGGGAAATGATATGCCGATGGAAGAAAAAAAATTTTTCGTTTTGCCAAGTTTTTTATGTGGATCCTTACTTCATTTATAGTGTGCGTGCTTTGAAAATAAGTTGGCATTCCTGAAGGTTCTCTCTTGGTTCCTCTTTTTATTGCTCTATGTTTCTGTAAATTCTTTCTTATGATCTCCTTGCACTATTACTGGAATGGTTTCTAGCTACCCGCGGCAATTATTCTTTTTTTGGAAAAGAAAAAGATTTTTTTAGTTGCCTGACGTTTCTTGGTTTTCTTTTAATCTATAAATCGCTTTGTGATTTGGTAAGCTGCTTTTTCATGTGTTCTTTTCTCTTCTTCTTTTTCTCTCTCTTAATTTTATAAGTTTTTTCATTTTACATTTACTTCGTAATAGCGTTTTATCGCCTTTTTTCCGTTAATTATAACGAATTGTGAAAGAAACGGAGTGTAATAGCCTGGAGGGGAAAAGACATTGTACATGGGTAATGATAGTAATCATAGCTCATTCAAGCATAAAAAGAACATTAGGAAAGAAAAGACTATTAAGGCCGGCTTAGACGGTACGATTTTCGCCTACAACTATCGTACACAACACGCTCACGTCTGTCATAGGCGAGTTGTAGGCTTGATTTACACGCTACGACTCGAGTTGTAGGATGACGCGAGCGTGTTGTATACGATAGTCGTAGGCGAAAATGGTACCGTCTAAACCGGCCTTTAGAAAATCTTACTACAAAATTCTCTATCAGTAATGACTCGGACTATGACCAATGAAACGATATCGGATCATAAGGAAAACTTGATTATCAACAATAGGCCAGAAAGATTATAGGCGCTCATGGCACTCAGGCGCTCAGTCGTTAGCATATGTATCCTTAGTAACGGTTTTTGATAATGTGTGGTCACTCTGAAGTGACTACTCCATAAAGTATCTCCTTCAAGRCACTTGTAACAAATATGTAAACGTAATGAAGCTACTATATAAGTGAGAAAAACGTGTAAAAATTGATCTCTTTACTGTGGTTTTACACGCTTGAGGACTCGATAAAATCATATGGACTGTTGTGTCATTTATATCTTTGAATTTATAAACGAAGGCGGAGAAACCTTTAAAACGTATTGTCTCATTGAAAGAACAGCCATTTCAAAAGGGTCTTTTCAAACCCTTAAATACATAAAGAGCACAAATTAAACTCTCGTTCGCATTGTTTATCCGCTACTCGAAGCAGTCAGCCTGTCGCCTTATCGTCTGCGAGAAAAGAGAATCCTTTATTTGTTAACATAAAAGGACAACCAAAAGAATGATAGCAAACTAGGCGTACGAAGTTCGTAGAGGCTTGTAGTTCCAGCGAATTTAAGAGCATGATGGAAGGCTTTATCCCTAGAGGACGGCACATTTGACGAACACTAAATGTGGTTGTTTTCATCCCGTCAGCGGGTTTCGAATCAAGACTTATCAGCTTTAGGTTTGCGAACTGTGCAAACACACGAGCTATAACTCACATTTACCGAAGCTATCAAGAGGGGATTTTAAAACAATCAAGAAGGTGACGCCGTTTTCAGTCAAACTATTGTACTAAAACTCGTTATCAGACATTCTGGTACCACGGCTTTCTTAGCTGTTCTTTAAAAGACTATGAATCGTTAATGCTAAAACTACAAAATCTCTCGTTAAAATCACCCCTAAGACATGATACTTTATCCACCCAAAACCAAACAAACTTTATTCTGTGAAGAATGCAGATTTGAATTTTTTTGGTTTGTTTTTTTGGTTTTTTGGTTTTTTTTTTCTTTTTTAAACCTTTTATGAATGACATTTCTAAAGAATGTATAGGAGTCTATTCATTAATTAGAGTAAGTTTTCCAGCGCCTCGTTGTCTGGTAAAGTCAAAAGGACAGTAAATCAAACGCGGACACTCACTTGACGACAGTAACAAAGACAACTTTGCTGCTAACAGTGAGCCTAGCTGATACTCACAGCTTCCTCTAACCCATCAATCACTGTCGCTATAAAAGACACCCTGACGCCATTACATCGCTACAAGACTTAAACCTTGCCCATTAACAAACAGTACAAGTTCATCAATTAATAAAACTATACTTCTGTTTTGGGATAAATCTTTAAATCTTGGTGTTGCCTCAATGTCTAGACGCGTTGGTGTGGTATATGAAGTGTTTCGCATTTGTTGAGCGCGGGATTTTTTTTACGTTGTCGGTGATCTAAGTCCAAAGCTGAGTACAGCTTAGCTTAATCTAATATTGATAACATATGATTAATCATTACTTTAAGAAATAGTTTGAAAAGGTATTTACTTTATGGAATGTCGAAACAAGAATTTTTTTTTTTTAATGCAAAATAGTCTTCAGAAAATTAAAAATTCTTCGCCGACGCGCGACCGAGAGAAAAAATCCTGAATGAATCTTTTTGCCATGATTTTTGTCCGGACGAGAAGAGTATTACAACAAATCATAATTTATCATTTGATTGTAGAACCTTTAAATTGAATAAACAAGGTATCGCGGTCAGGAACTTGTTCTTGGAATGCTTCCGGTTCTAACTGCATTCATTCCTTCGTCTTTTTTAAGGAAGTCGCGTCGAAAATAAAAGCATAAAATCTATAATAAACTAATGGTTTTCTTACCTCTACACTCGTTAGCGGAGTTAGTTCTAGCAGGTCTCCAGGGTCTGTCGTTGAAGAAAGGTTTACATTCTTGGCAGTCAGGTCCCGCGGTGTTGTGTCTGCAGTCGCAAACTTTCTGTCCGTCCCTGYTGATGATACACTTACTAGCGTGTCCATTACAGTGGCATCGTCCACCGACCATGAAGCTAGACACTGCATAGTATTGATTATCTTTAGGCCTACGGCTAGTTGCACTGATGCGGTTGAACTCGACCTTAATGTCAGTCGCCATGACCCACTGGTTCAAACTCGGGCTGAAATCGTTCATTTTAGGAAAGTTCGATCTACCTGCCATCGTACTGAATGCGATTCTTCCGCCATGATGTGGCCTTATGAGGTGCCCATTCGTGCATAGGGCGTCTTTCTCATTCTCGTCGTTCAATGGTCCATTCATCCGTCGTCCATACATCCCTTCGCAATCATTAGAATAAAACTGATAAGGCTGCCAGGTCTTGCCAAAGTCAGCGGACTTATACATGGCCATAGATTCAGGACGGATACTGCGAAATTGCAGGCTTATATACGTAATGTCAAAGGTCTTTCCTAGAGATAGAATAAAAGTGATGTTGTCGCGGCTCTGCACCGGATCAGCCATCCAACTTGTCACGTTATTCTCATTGTGTACATCTGTTAAGTACTTAGCTGGATGAGAACGCATTGGGTCTCTGTTGTCACAGACATCACATTCGCGACCGTCTATAGTCGTTTGACAAAACCTTCGTGGTACTTCCCCACAGGTATAGCTCACTTGAATGTTTTTTTCATACGCAAGGTCGTGGAATTCCGGTCTACAAAGTTGCGGTCTGTTATATTCATCGTAGCATTGATTTATCTTGGAACTTTGAACTGCTAAAATGGACCAGCTGGTTTGATACAAACCCGTCATTACGAGTGCATACAGGAGAACAACGCGCCTCGAGACCATAGTTCTTGAACTGTCAATTCAGGAAGAGAGAAAATAAACTTTCATAGCCAGTATAAACAGTTTTTAAACTCCTGGGACTTAGCACTAGCCGAGAAGTCTAGCCAATCGTCTTGTAGAATTAACTACGGATATTGCTATACGAGCTCCCTGAAGTTCTGGAAGACGGAATGGCCGCACGAACTTCACCTGATTGAAGTCAGACCAACGTGCAGGTATGGACCTCCAAGGATCGCTTCTCAGAATGCGTCGTGAAGACAAGGGAAGTGGCCTTATGTAAGACAGTGTGATCAGCAAAGCATGCAAAATGCAGCTTCTCGTCTCATTTAAAACAACGCCAGAGGGAGCATGTCACTGAACGTGGCTATATGTGTTATAYTGACTTTAAGTACCCTTGAGTAATCAATCAACCGCTAAAGATACTAAACCATGGGGTCTTGACGGACAGGCGAAGTCATGATCTACCCTACAATGAAACAAAATGCAGTCAGTAAGGCAATTATCTCCACTATTAATCAATCAAACACAGGCTCTATTCTATTTTAATCGCCTCATGAATAAAAACGCACGAGTCAAGAGACCATCGCTTTCTTCATCAGTCCACATGAACCGCACACCATCCCACAGTATTGAAATTTTTTCTCACAGTACATTTCGTCAGTGAATATATAGAGTACGATGTAATAGAACTGTTGGCCTTTGAACTTAACTAGCTTTAATTTTTGATCTGACGTTCATAAAAATAGACATAGGATTAGGCAATGGATATTCAATAGTAGTACTGCTTGGTCACTGACTTATTATTTAACCTGACAATGTTGTTTGCGCATTCTAAGCGTGGCTCAACTCGGCTCGTTTTAATAACTTTGTGTTCCGAAACATGTTACAGTATTCTGCGTGCAAATGGAGGGTTTGGTTAGGATTGCAATATTGTGACACAAATGCGTTGTATTGGACACCTCATTAGCTATCAGCTCAGTGTCTTTTAAGGACCTAATTTATCATTTTCAAAGCGCGCTATTTTATTACCAGCGGGGTTCCTATACATATTGTGAAGAAAGAAATAAGGAAGGAGGAGAATTGAAAAGGGTCCTATTAATCCATAAATAATCATCTCTGATCTAAGAGCCTTGATAAACCAAGAGTGCACTCAATGAAACAATGTTGGCAACTCGGGTGACAGATATCAGTATTAATGGACTCGAATGGTCACTGGAGACGGCCATATCTATATTAGGCTCAAACAAAGGTTAATCAAGTGCTTAGCAAATGTTGGAAACGAGAGAGGTGACGGACCATTACACTAATAAGGGGGGGTGCGTATATCCCCCAAAAAAATATCGAGCAAGCACTTCAACTACGAAATAAATATCGCAATCTCTCCTTTCAGTAAAGAAATGTCGCAAAAACACAAAAAATTGCGTGCAGGGTTGTTACAAAAAATAAATGTAGTGCAACATATTCCTAAACCCAACTCTCAATTATCTAATGATCTATATCTTGATAGCTTTTCTTCAGTCCAATACACTTCTCCACGCTTCAGATTCTAAGACTGTAATTGTAATAATCACCAAAGTCTTACCACCTGCCACCTGAGGTGTTACATCGACATGAATCCAGTTCATTGAGTCAGAGACCAATATCACAATACACTCTTCTTTTACCTAATGTCATTACAAGGGCATTATAAATTACTTCAAGGCTGGTGAAATATTTTCGCGCTCAAACTCGACATACAAAATTGATTTGAAAAAACCCTAGCGTTTTAAATACGTTCATTTTCGAAGAGTAAACTAAGGAATATAATTTTGAACAAAAGGAAACGATAGAAGTATCGAGGAGATTACCAGCTGAGTTAAGTGAGTTATTGAAGTATAGAAACGCGTGGTATGGATAACAATACCGGTTTCTTTCTTATCTCGATTTTAATCAAGGTTTTGAAGTAAGTACGCATTTTTACTGAGGTAATTTTCGAGGTTGGAGGTTCTGGAGACACTTAAGAAGGCCAATTTCGATATCATTTTAGGTTCAATACCTAAAAGAGTAGCATTGTCTTCAACACTTTACAAATTTTTTTTTTTTTTAGCTTGCGTAAGACTAAATCTGGAAAGAAAAAATGGCAAATTTTTGCTAACATTTTTAAAGAATGAAGTAAAAAAAATTAAGTATATCCGTGAAGGAATTAAGAGATCTGGCGTATAAATTTCCAGATGTGGAGTTGGGGTACTCTAAAAAGCGTGTACAAAATTGTACAATTTTATCAACCCTCTGCATTCTCCTAAGTGATTGAGTTCTACTTCTCTGCTCCAATTTTTTTTCTGAAATTTAGTAATTTAATAAAAAATCTTATCTCCACGGCTTGTTCATTTTTTTAAAAAGTTAATTCTTTAATTGCCGTGCAAACAAACCTAAAGCAATGTCCTGAAATCTTGCACTATTGAGACTGTCGTCCGTCACGAACATCATCGCACGTAATTCCGTCGAACAATGAATGGAAAGTCATAATTTTTTCCATGAATATAGTGGCGAAAATCCCAAAACTAAATGATTTGGATCCTGTATTTCTTTTAGACAGATTTTTCGCTCGTTTGTGGCTAATATTTGTGAAAAAATAAAACATGTGCCAGTAGAAACTTGTGGGAAAAGCTAGCGTTGAATGAATGATCGTTTAAAAACTGCTATTCAAAGGCTTTTTAGAGTGTTTTCAAGTGTCATTTTTGCAAAGTATTGTCGCGATAAAAAGATAGGTTTTCAGGAATTGAAGTGTAGGAATCCAAGGCAGACGTAGTCAAACTAATCATAGAACAACGCATATTCAATCAAAAGAAAAAACAAACTTTCGCAGCCAAAACTAAACAACTGTCAGAAAAACCGCGCGCACATCTTTAACATTATCATAGATGAAGATAAACTTGAACAATTAACGTCAGGATCAAATCTTCTATTTCTCTAAGGTCGCAGCGTTAGATAAAGATTATACAGACCCTAGACTCAAGACGTAACCTAAACATAGGTTCAAGTTGACGTACTCACAGACTGGGCTCCTGGTGTAGTTCAAATCTTCCTAGCCGTGTCCTTTTGTCTCTCCGTTTATCTTCAAACAGCAAATCTCTGTGGGAATTTGTCAACCTAGTTGACCCGCGAACTGTGGATTCAGTAATGAAACGTGTGGCAGTTTTTAGCCTTATGAATTCTCCTCGGGATCGTACAGAAAGGCTTGTGAAGTTTTTCAATTTCCGGTCTTCAGATCCTCTTTAATCCCAATACACACACTTTCTTTGAGTGAATGACTTCGACAAGGAGTAAATCTTGGTTCTACGCTTGAGTTTGATGTGTGTTTGCCTTTGCGCTTACGTCGTGGACGGTGTCGCTCAGTTCTCTTAGTATGTCATCACAGCTCACCCTGTCTGTATGTAAGCTAATATCCTTATGTATCTCCGCGCGACCAAAACGTTATCCAATCCGACAGATATACTCACGAGATGACAATAGACTCCAATGAGGTTGTGAAGGAATGATAAATGATGTGCTAAGGAACAAACCGGTAACGATCGCTATGTGACAAATGATCATACAAAATCTCACTCCAACTCATCTTGTCCCCTTCGTAATGCTTATAAATAGAGGAACAGTTGATTGCTTAGTGTTAATGTGTTTAGAATTTGCTAAAGGCCTGCGTAGAACTGTCTCGTTAGCAACCAAGTCCAACCGGCAAAGATTCTACTTTTTTGAAACGTATCTGATTTCTATTTATAATGCTCTATGTCGTTTTGATGTTTCCATTTTTTCTTTTTTGTCGTTTCGTTTTTCATTTGAGGTTTTGATTGCATCGATTGGAATTTACACTTGAAATATATTGCTATTTTCTTTAGGCTTTTCCGTGTTACTTTATTAGAGAGCGACGATTATTTTGTTTTATTTTGATCAAGCCCCACTTGAAAAAAACCAACAGAAACCCAGTTAACGCTGTTTAAAATGCTGTCCCTTTAGTTGCAGAACTCTACAAATAACACCAGAATTTAGTCACATATATCATGCTAAAGAACTAAAAATTGGATAAAAGACGTCAGCGAAGCTGTAAAATTGGGAAATCAATTCAGATTCAGGGATAGACTTGCCAAGAAAAAAACTTTTGAGGCATTAGTTTTGTATCAAAACTTATCATGCCTTAAACCCGGCTTTCTCCAGGATGTGGTAACACACAAAAAGATGACAATGATGAAAATTTGCTAACGAATTTCCACAATGCCAACTGAATTACATTTTTACCATCTAAAACACCTTTAAAAGAACTTCTTGTCATGCAGCATGATTGATGTTTAATGTGTTTAGATTTCTTGTATTTTGTGACAAGTTTGAGTTATGGAACAGGCTACGGATTTCATTTTAGCGCGATTTTTTAAAGCGGTCCGTCACTGAGTTGTTCCTTCCGCAACGAAACGTGAGCACGGTTTTCATGATTCACCATGCCAACACCGCCTCATCTAAAAAGAAATTAAAGAACGGACTTAGTATTTCCTAGGCTTATCAGAGAAATCGTTCCTTGGTGACAGCTTTGGATACTCAAAATAGAAAGGATTGCCGTTGTGGGAAGAGTAAAAAGCTTATTTCCCTCCCACAAAAATTTATCAGAAGCAGCCTCGAGGAGTTTCTTCCGTCGTCTACGAAACCCACACAGAACTCCTTGTATCCTGGAGAAGTCAGTTAACATATTAATCCTCACTTAAGACGCTTAAAATTAAATGGAATTATCGGCGATACTGTCGTACATTTTCCTGGAATGTTGAGATTTTTTAAAACGAATTTCTAGCTGTTCGTTTGGGTCAAGGAAAGACATTGTCCCCTGCTGTGACCTAATTTGGCATCCTAGGCGCCTTTGTCTGTCAACAAAGATATACAAATAACTTTCAACACAACGGGACATGGATCATTAGATCGTTCTAACGTGTACAGTTGTACAAAAGTGATTGAGAAAGGGCTATCGATAGAAATTAAAAATATACAAATATAAAAATACCTAATTTTTTTAGTGGTCCAATTTTTAATAATAATCTATATCGAAGCCGTCCGTTTTGTCTCCAATGCTAGAGAGTTCGAAGCCCTTAAGTATGTACTCTCATCTCGACCAACCCAGAAATTTCAAGCATGGGTCGCATGCAATATATTTAATTTTGATTACCAAAGTCGCTACTAAATTAGTGCGGTTTAGTTTTTTATTAATTCATTAGCAATAAACACGATTCGAATGCATTAAAAGAGATGAACAACTCGGATATGTCAAGGAAATGACCCTAAGCCGATAGAAGAGGATTACACGGCCCACGTATTACGTGAGCGATTCCACATGGATCAGTCCCACATGGAGGAGTTAGACGTCTGGCTATTAATTTGTGACCATCGCTATGAGACAACTTTGCGACTAAATAGCGTCAAAACCTGAAAACCTTGTAGCTCAGGCTAGTTTACTCGCTAGTTCACTTTTTATTCCACGGTGTTCAGCTTATTTATAAAGCTGATCAAAGTCATGGCATGACTGTAACTTACAGATCAAAGAAACTACCTCTGGGCTGATCAAAATCAGGGCATGGCTAAGTCACTGACTTTACTAGATGTATACACACGCCTACATAGTCCAAACTAGTCCTGCACTATTCGGTGCATTTTCAAGGTTGACACTGAACTAAGCTGCAGAAACCGAGTTTCAATCAAAGTAAACCATTGTCTGCGTTACAGACAAAGAACCCCTCCACGTGTTTAAACTTTAGCGAGCCATGAACAAGCTGCCCAAACAATTCTGACTGAAGTGCAGGAATTCAGCTTATTTATTCCGTGAATATTACATATTGATTCCGCATTCTTCGATGAGGGGAAAACGAGGTAACAAGCGGTTTGGACCCGCGTTTCCTGAAAATGTAGCCTTCATAGTAAGTCCTCGTAAGCTTTGATTGTTAACCACAAAAACAAGTGGAAGTTAATGCTGTTTACCACTTCTTATGTATATTGTACTGTACTTCGGGTTTAACGAGTAATTAACGATATTAGATCGTTGGTGGACTAACCGCAATCAATAATCTATCGGTCCGTTAGATCACAGATCGATCACGAGTAAGACCAGTCGTATAACTGTTGCGGTTTTGACGATTTCATTGATGCGTGGTAAAACGTGCAATAAACATAGGTGTTTTGCAATCCGTGCTTACAAACAGGGAAGCATTTAGATAAAGTCTGGCCTTGCTTAGTAATCAAGTTGGTTTTCTTTTTAGAAAAGAATTACTTGGTTATTAAAACGCCGAGAAACGAAAATGTTTCTCACGTAACCAGAATTTATTTTCCTCTAGTTCCTTTCTTTCTTTTTTCTTTCCTTCCTTTATTTTTCAATTATCTTTTCTCCTTTTCCTCTTCTATTCTCTTCTATCCCCTCTTCTCCTCCTCCTCTTTTTCCGCTTAATTTCTCAGCCCACTTTTTCTCATTTTCTCACCGTCAACTCCACCAAAATACATAGAGACACAAGATAGAAGCTTCGAGTTTTACAAACATTTCGAATGCACCCAGTAACAAACAAAAAAACGAAAACCGATTCCTAATTAAAAGCTTCGCGTCCATGACAAAACAATAAGAACCTTGATCTTCAAAATCCCTAAAAATCTCTCATATTTGTGATGGAAAAACCTTAAATTAACTGACTGAATTCTGACCATCAATAGCTTGAGCTTCAGGTGGCCCCCCAGTAAGACGGAGCTTCGTGGGGGCCTATTACTCGACCATCTAAACACAAGACCAGGATCATGTTCCATGTTTACTCACGGATATATAATGACGTTGTTTGACAATAGTTATAAAATGTCCATGGATTTACTCCGAGTACCTAATGATGCGCTTCGCAGACCTGCTAAAGCTTCTCAACCTGGTGTTCCTGAACTAAACGCGAATTCTTGGAGTTTTTTGCTAATTCTTGAGGAATGGATAGCTCCCTTAAGTTCGTAAATTGCTAGTGTAACCGAAAAAACGCTTTTTTTATACTTTACTTCTTGTATAGATTTCGTGACTTCAATACGATCTCAGCTTATTGCGTATAGATGTATTAGATAAACGATTTCAAAACGTTTGACAAACATTTAACGTTTCTAAAAAACAGAAACAATAGAAAACTGATCGAAAAAAATATAACTTATAGTTCATTTCGGAAAATACTCGTTTAATTTCAAAGAAACTCATTGCAAAAGAGAAATGGATTTGAATCGATCACATCTTGAGCCATACCTCGGTGAAGTTTTATGTCGCTCAATTTATTTTATTAACCGGTTTTTCTTTTCTTTTTTTTTTTTTTTTTTTTTTTTTTTTTTTTTATTTTTTTTTTTTTTTTGTCGTTATGCTCTCTCTTCTGTAGTTGAAGTAGCTTAGGTGTGAATAATATTCTTAATTGAGCCACTTAATACAACATTTTAGATAATTCAAAGTCAATATCGTTACAGCTCGCATTAATCTGAGTCTAGATAGCTACATGAATATAAATAAGTATAAATTAGTAAGTTGCGGCGTTGAAGTTGCAAGAATTGGAAGCAGGGATAACCCTTCAAACTGACCGTAAAGCTTTTAAAACTGTGTGTTTAGTTCAGGAAGTAAATCTTGGTATTCATTCTTAGTGGATTTGATAAATTGATCACGTCATTATTGAGTGAATATTTTCATAGATTATCCGCAGTATTAACAGTAGCGTTTACATGTAATGGAACATGTTGTAAGATGCTCCATTTTTGTTTTTAATGAGCTACTTTTTGATACGCCTTTAAATTAACTAAAAACTCAAAATTGACTAAAAATAATTTCATAGTTTGATATAAAACACTAACGCCTTATACGAAAAAAGATTCCAATACTCGTACACAAAAACGCGTTAGCCTAACGAAAAAAAAATTTTTTTTAACCGCTTTACTCACTTTGAAGAGATTTTTCTTTTTAAGCACTCAGTTACACAAAAATTTAATCACTGAGAATTAATTAACGAATACATGATTATTTTCCCCCAAGATGGTGTTAGGCCCCGTCCACACGTATCCGCAAATTTTTTTTTACGGAAACGGGTTGCGTCCACACGTGTTCTCAAATTTTTGTGTCCGTATCCGCAAATTTTACGAAAACGGATACGTGTGGACGGTGAAAACGATTCGAATACGCTGAGTGTGGACGCGAACATTTTCGTATCCGCAAAAAAAATTTGCGGATACAAAAATTTCCGGATACGTGTGGACGGGGCCTTAGTCAACATTCTAGATGTTTTGATTCAAATGTCGAAACATTTTACATAATTCTATTGACAAATAATTGGCGAGCTTTTATAAATTTTATCTCGAGTGCTATTGATAAATAAAACTGATCAGGTCACACTAGTATACTAGAGTCGTGCTAAGGCTTATTATTTTCGTCATTGTGACATCCAAAAGGAGTATAAATACATCAATAATGAAAGATCTCAAGTAGAAGCACTTGAAACAAATGTCAGGATAAATAACTCTGTGGTGAATTAAAAAATAACACGAAATATAATCTTAATTAACTTACCTTGAGTGCGTGATTTTCTTTGAGTTTCCTCCGCTCTGCGACTGTCTACGTAGAGTTCAATCTCATCCTCATGCCAAAATCGCTCGGCGCTTCAATATTTCACAAGCGATGAGTACACTGTATCCGATGTCCCTTCTGAAACTTTAAAATCACTTCAAAGAATTCTTTTTCATTTGATAACCTGTTAGTGCATTAGACCAAAGGTGACAATAACAATATCCAAGACAATCAGTTATTTACATTCAGCTTTTACAATTATATAGTTCAGAGGTGATCTTTCAAAAATGAGCCCTTGAATGCATTCCAGAGGTACAGCCACTTTCATTTGGAAACGTACTGGTTGATTTTACATTTTTGTTTCGTCATCCAATAAGATTTAAACATTTCAATACATTGTAAAACCGTGTATAAGGAGCTGAGACAATTGCATCAATACTTACGCAATATTTCTAGGTATATTTTATTTACTTGAGGACAATTTTTGGATCAATGCTGGGGGAAAAAGCCAAAGGGACAGCACTGACTTAGCGGGCTTAATCTAACATCCCTTTAGATTAGCCGCCAGATAGCGATCATTCTGATGGAGACGTCTTTCGTCGATTCTCTTGATCCCTATTTGTTTACTAAAATATTTTTATCCTATGGACCAAAGGGTTACATTCTGTGGCGTACTACAAATTCTGGTTCCAGGATCCTTGTGGACGGACAGCCTCCGGATTTTTGGTCTTCATATTTTAACATTCTTTCGTGCGCACTCTAGCTCAACTTTTAACCCGATTCAAGACCTTTGGAAACAAAATAATTATCTTTGCAATCAAAAGAATCCTTTCTTCATCAAATGAGCAGTTTCTAACAGGCTTGTCGATAAAGTATAAAGTATTTAATTTAAAGTGTTCCAAAATGGCGGATATATAGAGTGGAATGCAGTCACAGCACCGCGATAAAAATGTTCTGCGCGCGCGCTCTAAAGAATCAAAATTACCTCCCATTAACTATACTCTGAAGCCCGTCAATTTGAATGATGTTTGCTTTATCTTCTGTTGATTGAAATTAATTTACTTCAATCCCTTAATTTGTTTTCATAACACGAGTTCAAGTATTTGAACTTTGATCTGGTTTCGGTTTCTCTCGATTTATTGAATACGACGAATAGTTTACTTTATACTTTTGGTTTTTGCGTGATTTGCGCCATTGAGGAAATTTCACAACAGACTCTTCTTTCCAAAAAAATAATATACGAATTTCATTTTAGAATATGATTAGTATAATTTATTACTCTTATTTTCTAAACCTCATTTCTATTTGTTTATCACTAGATGGTTTTTCAGTAGAGCATATCGCAGTTCAAGATGTCATAGACGAGTGTTATTCCTGCGGACGTCAGAGATCGCGGCCCTTCAAAAGGTACTTCATTTGGTTTCAATTTACTGTTGTGATCTATACCACTTGAAACCTGTATCTAGTTCATCTTAATTGACTTGACAATACCTGAACATGATGGGCTTACGTCTGTTGTTTTAAAGGATTGAGCAGGGATAGCGGCCAAAATTCCTATTACCATGGTAACGACTATAAACATAACGCGGACTGACGCTAATGTTTTACTATAGAATCGATTTTTCCGTATTTAATGTCTGCAGACGAGGAAAATAACTGTATCGTTAGCTACCACCTATATATATCTATCTCAGTCAAATTTCTTCCAAGCATGCGCAGGAAACCGCATCAAAGTTGTGAATGCCTGTGCATGCGCAAAAGAAATATATGCATCTGCGCTTTCAAAATAATTTTAAGTGAAGAGCAAGATGCTCGAAAGCTTGGCTTGATTTATAATTAAAAAGCTGATGAATCATAACTATGAATTTTAACTCGGCTTCCAAACACTTATTCAATTTTAAGTTGTTTGAGATAAATGAAGATATACGGCACAAACCAAATGCGACAATAGATTTGACTCTACTCTGGAAATGTCAAGGCTAAATACGCGAGATTATTTCAATAGCATTACATGACATCTGGATCATGAAACAGAGTCATCTTCGCCTGATACACTCTTGGCCGTGGTTGCTCTGGGAGACAAGCACGTCATTTGGTCACGTGGTGTTCGACCGTTCAACCAATAAGTGACCACGTGTCCTTTTCCCTAAAAATGCGCAACCAAGCAACATCAATAAAACAAACTTTCGAGTTTGTGAGCAGGAGAGTGAAATAAAATAATTTGAAATTTTTTGGTCATCTACGGTTATCCTATAGTCACAACGAAACGTGACGTCAGCTTGTCACGTGCCACGAGGAATGTGTCACGTGCTACGGGGAATGTGTCACGTGGAAGGGAAAGCACTGACGATTTTATGGTCAGAAAAGTTTTTTGAATAATTGTCATAGCGAGGTCTTCCTTCTCGAAGAGATAACCTTTCCAAAGAGTATCTGTGTCTAGTGCTTCTTCAAGACAGGTCCCAGAAGGTCAATCAAGGGATCGACTAGACATGGAGGTCTTTAATCATTCAGCCCTTAGAAAGGGTTAAACCTTCGCCTTCGCATTGAATGAGCAAATCTCTTTATCTTCATCAGAGGAGGACCCTCTGGATGTAATAATAATTGGTTTAACGCTGGGAGATTCTCTCATTTATATCCTTCAAATATTATCAATACGCTGCAACAACCTCAGGCTCTGTGAGCTAATTAACAATTATTCGCCAAAGGCGAATGATTGTTTTAGTTTTCTTAACACAAGTGAATTTAATGAATGACGGAGAGAGTTTCGTTTTCTTCCCCCCCCCCCCCTAAATTTCATTTATCTCTGCCAGCGGCACACATCGACAAACGAGCGTGCATGGTATATTCACCTGTAGTTCAATATAACAGCATAAGATGTAAATAGACCCTTTTCGAATTCCAAATTACCGCTGTGTTTCCTGATTACAGACTCATTTGCACAGGGTTAGCCTCGAGTTTGTGCAGAATATTCACGTGTTCCAGTCAAGGTCCGTCAAGTTTCAAAGTGTTTGTATTGTTGAAGTTGTGCATTCTTTCCTTTACCGTTGGTATTTGTGAATATTTAAACACTGATACGAGGCTAACCCTGTGCAAATGAGTCTGTAATCGAGGAACACAGCGGTGATTTGGAATTCGAAACTGGTCTATTGTGACCAATGGGTGCGCAGGATTTAATATATTCACTTGACTAAAAATACTAGTTAATCTTAATGCAAGGCTTACTCAAAGATGGAATTGGAATTTAGCGTGTTGGGTGTTGCGGGGGGAGAAGAAAGAGGAGAACTCGAGGAAATACGCTCGAATCGAGGATGAGTTATAGACACAAGTAGGCGTTACCTTGAGAAGAATATTGCCCCTTTCTGTGATATCGTATACACCAAATCTATCAAGATAGGACTTTGCTTCCTTGCTGATATGAATCTTTAATGCTTACAAGAAAATACAGAAACAATAAGATTAGAAAACTAGCGTAACTGGATTGCCGTGAGCGATAATAAATATTATATGCCGCATACTTGTAGGGCGTACAACTCTCAACTCACATGCTGATTATTACAAACAAAGGAACCTGAGAAAACCCTGGCAAGGGAAGTATGTTAAAGATCAGTTGTCATACATGATCTTCTACGTGTCATTCTCTTTAGAATAAGATTCTTTGTTTGAGTTGTATCCATTTTCATGTGTCTTCTCATGCGCAACCGTTAAACATAGAAATGATACTCAAGGGAATGACACGTGGCCAAAAAAAGCATTAAGCACGAGGTAAAGAGGTCTACATAATAATTAGTTTGTTACTCATGGTCAGTTTGGTTTCTATGGTTACCTTCTCCAGTAGACTCCATCCTTGACGCCATGTTTACAGCGTCACCAAACAAACAATAACGAGGCATACGAATACCTACTACGCCTGCGCAGACGGCTCCTGAAACAGAAGATTTTAGAAAGCTCGACATGAATACTGATAGTTTGCAATATATCATTCGTAGAGTGATTTAACTTTGGCCGTGGAAGAAATGTCAACGTAATACGAATAAGTAAAAGATTAGACGGTTACCGCTATGTATTCCAATTCTGAGCTCGAGTTTCTCATTCGGTCTGTGACGAATTACAAACTTCTTCTGCGCATGTAATAAATCAAGTGCCATATCAGCTATGTGACGCGCATGCTCGTGACCATTACGTATAGGGAGACCGCTGGCCACCATGTACGCATCACCAATAGTTTCAACCTTCAAGAAAAAATATTTAAATTGTCGATAAAGCATGGTTTGCATATTGTGACAGAATCAGAGTCGTCAGAGTCGGTAGCAGTTTATGCATGAAACTTTGCAAAATTCTTCCGATACGACGCGCTTCCGACTCCGATTCCGAGGCGCTTCCGACTCTGATTCCGACTCCGTTGTCTCCGTTTTTTTACTTCTTCGTGAGCTGCTTCCGATTCCGACTTTGATTTCACCGCAAGTAAGACTGAACCATAGAAAAAGGAGCTCGTTTTATTGAATTTCTTACCTTATATACATCGTAGTGAGCTATGACGCTGTCAAACAACGTGTACAAATCATTTAAAAAATTTACAATCTGAAAATACAATGAAATTATATTATTTTCTGATATTCATAATTAATGCCTTGTATATTCATTGTCAGGAAAATATTTGTTTGGACTTACTTGTAATGGAGAGCTCAAAGAGCAAAAAGGCGTAAAACCAACAATGTCGCTGAAAAAGATCGAAACTTCTTCAAAGTAATCTGCCTTGACTGGTAGGCCTGCGATCAGCTGGTCAGCGACGCTTCTGTAAGTAAGAAAATGAGTGACTTGTTTTATGACTGGGAATCTGCTGTACCACTGTGTCAATAGACCAGTTTCGAATTCCAAATTACCGCTGTGTTTCTTGATTACAGACTCATTTGCACAGGGTTAGCCTCGAGTTTGTGCAGAATATTCACGTGTTCAAGTCAAGGTCCGTCGAGTTTCAAAGTGTTTGTATTGTTGAAATTGTGCATTCTTTACTTTACTGTTGGTATTTGTGAATATTTAAACACTGATACGAGGCTAACCCTGTGTAAATGAGTCTGTAATCAAGGAACACAGCCGTAATTTGGAATTCGAAACTGGTCTATTGGGTAGCGTGCATCCCTTGCGCATGAGAATTAAAGGTAAAAAAGTGCCCGCCATGTTGGTTGAAATGGCAACAAATCTTTTGTTCTACTCAACCAACATGGCGGCTATTGAGTCACCCACACAAAGGTAAGAGACATGGCCGCCATTTGGTTGGCATAACGAATGACACCAACACCAAATCTTCGGTTCTAGTCATTCAGAATGGCCGCTCTGAGGTAACATTCACTAGGAAAAAAGACATGACCGCCATGTTGGTTGACTAGACTTGATGACATGTCAACCAACATGGCGGCTATGACGTCACATGCAACCCGAGAATAACGAATGCGGATATCAGATCAAGAGAATTCTGTGCACGTGATACATACTTTGGTAGCATGTTATGGAGAAGTTCCTCTGTCTTTTTTTTCTCTTCCATCCACTGTTCAGTACGCTCCTTCACGAGATCCTCTAAATGTGACGAGTAATCTTCCAAGAGATAGATAACCTTGTCTACAATATTCTCCCTGATTGAAGAAATTTCAAAACAGCGTCCAAATTAAGCAGAAAAAAATCAAGTCCTTGTTTTACGAGGGTAGCTAGGGGCTGACAAACCTTGGACCCTTATTGCTGTGAGCCTATAAAGCAATAGTCCCCTTCACAGTTCCCTGCGCCATCTTGAAAGGTAGCCGTGTCTTTGCATCGAAGCGAGACGAACGGTGAGCTTGCAATGATAGAGACATGTGAATATTGTCCAAGGTGTTAAAAAAAGGTCTCTATCATTGCAAGCTCACAGTTTACAGCTCACAGGCTCGGCTACCTTTCAAGATGGCGCAGGGAACCGTGAAGGGGACTATTGAGCTGAGAAGCACAATGACACTCCTACGATTTGTCATAAATATGAATCGTCCTTCCTTTACGAGGGAGCATTTAAAAGCCAGGGGCTGACAAACCTGGAGCCCTTAGATTTGTGATCTCCTGAGATGAGCCGTTACGGCTCTTGGAGTAAACATTTAGAAAATATATGGTAAAATAAATAGAAAAATCTGTGAGATTATACAACATTCGATCTTAGGAACACAATGAAACTCGTATAACTTGACATAAAAAACGATAGAACAACCGCATAATTACTAACGATATAGAATTTGAACAAGTATTTTTCTAAACTTACTATAATTTAGTACATGTGAAAACGCTTTTATGTTTCCACATGAACACGAGGCAGGTCAGCCAAAAACAAAAAGCCATTCAAATTAGTCGCCATATAGTTCGATTCCGTGTATTTAAATCATAATTATTTTCAAAAACATACATACTTTTTCCCGCCTTGCAAGGTTATTATGATTTTTTTGATCTCTTGAAAACTTGGCCTGCCATCCGGGTCTTCAGACCAACATGATGTCATCAACATGCACAAGTCATCAAACTTTGAGGCTGGTGCGACCTTTGGCCTGAAGGGGTTCTTGCTGTTGGTGACCTTGACGCGATCAATGATTTCTATGTCAAAAGGGAACGATTTATTATAGCGGTTATGACATTATATCAATCACAGACGTCAAGACATCAATAGCTCAAAGTATACGAAATGTCTTAATTCCACGTATGAATGGCAGCATGTATGTACAAAAACGGTGGCTCTGCGATTATAACACTGGGGTTTACTATCCTGGGCCCTGTTGCAATAAGATGTGCGCTTTTCCAATAAAAGCACCTGAGTGTTACGCTAAGATAACAATGTATTGTCTTGACATATACAGTACTAAGCTGTCTTTGAAGAGCTGTATGTAACTAACTACTTGAAGAGTAAATAATGGCTTTACCTTCGACATCCAAGCAGTACTCGTAGAACGGTGGCGTTCTTGTTTCCATTTCCTGTAGTATGATAGCAAAGCTGTACACATCTGCCTTTTGTGTTGCGCTCTCTTCTCCTGACCGCAGCATTTCTGGAGCAGTCCATAACAGTTCTATAAGGAAAAAATCTCCAGATGTTCTGATTCGTTGCAACATGTTGCAAATCAAATCATTAGTGGCAACATGTGGCGGCAGCCAAGTTAGCTGACACACCACTTTTTACGCGGATTAAAGAAAGGTTTGATGAGAATAAACACGTTTACCGCGATTGTTCAATTCATGGCGGGAAACTATCACGTGATTTTACATGGCTTTGGACTATGGACCTTTATCACAAGGCGACCACGTTTATTCTCATGAATTTGTTTCTTAACCCCTTGAATGCGAGTCCACGCGTGGTGGAATCTATTGTTCATACCAACATGGCGCCGCGTGAAAAAGTCGAACAAGGAGAAGAAAAAAAGATAGAAGCAAAACATCACTATGACGATGACGCGGCGTACTTCCATCATGGTAGAATGCTAGAACTTACCTTTCGCTTCACGTTTTTTGGGTTCGTTTTTCAAAGACCAAAGTCCAAAGTCCGTTATCTTTAACACCCAACGACCATCGACCAAACAATTCGAGGATTTCAGGTTGCCATGGATTTTGATTTCAGATGATTGAAGAAATATCATGCCCTGAAAAAGAAATTCTCCTTTTAAAGCTCATCCTAAGTACTTACTAGCAAGGTTTTAGAGATTGTTTAGCTTTACAGTTTCGCGATGTAGGATATTAGAGTTCAAAATGGGGGGAATGAATCACGTGACATGCTAGACAATATGGCGGCGACGGATCACGTGATATGTTAAATCCACCCCCAAAAAAGATAACATTGAAGCAATAATGTATTTAATATGTATTAATAAATATATCAGAATTATTTTACCTCTACAATATCCGCAACAAGAGAACGAATAAACATCGAATCAAGCTTAATGTTGTCATCCATTATTATGTCCTGCAGGGAAAATACGAAATATATACTAGTATTTAACGAATACAAATATCAAATACAAATACAAAAAGATGAACAACAGTACAAAGAACTTTGTGACATGGCAGCCATGTTTATCGTTACCCTCGAGAAACTTAATTCACATCTGTTTAACATTTTAAAAAAGCTTGAATAAGGTCGAGGCTACGCGGCACAAGATCTATAATGTTCTAGCCAACATGACTGACTGCCATTTGAGAAATGCCTCTACCCAATTAAAGTCTCTACATCCTCAGTGGCAAGGGTAGTGGTCACGTGACATACTTACCTGAATGCTACCTCGAGAACAAAATTCTATCAACGTGTAGATATGGGGTGGCTTTACGCATGCGCCGACAAATCTTGCTAAATTGTTGTGGTGTAGTTCATAGACCTAACAAGACAAGAAAGATTCCAAAATTTGAAAGCCGAACAAACATGTTTTGGGTGGCCATAAACTTGTTTAGTCGTCATGGTACAGTCATTGCTTTCAACATAGGTCTTTTCTGAGTTCGATAAATAGGGTGCATTGTGTTCTAGCTTCGGTACAAACAACACCATACAAGGTGTGATGAACAAAAGATGTCTGTACCGAAGCTAGACCACAAAAAGGTCTATGAAACAGAGTATCAAACGCCAAACCAATTTTTTCGCTACAGTAACAATATATTCACCCTGTTTCTCCAGTCATTGTCATTATAACGTCGACTATAAAAACGTATTGACGTCACATCTATATTGCCATGGCAACAGTACATAAATAAGCTGTCAAACCTGTTTTAGTTCAAGGAGTTCATTTCTTGATATCTCGACTTGGTTTCTTTCAAACTTCTTTACATAAACGTGCGTTGCCTTTAAATAGATATTATTATATTAGCATCGCAATCAATCAGCAGTTATGAGGTAAAAGTTTGAAATATGATAATTAAGAAAAAAAATACACAGACCTTATATCTACCAACGTGTGCATTGCGGAGCTGTCGAGGTGAACAGCCATAGAAGGAAGACTAAAACCAAATTTAAAGCAAGAACGATTTTTTTTAGTTTGTTGAGCGGCTTTTAGTGGTTCTTATAGAGTGCACGCCATATATCCTTGAAACAGTACTAACTAATTAGTACTGAGTAGCACCAATGTAACACCACTATTCTCACTGCATACATAATTGGCGTGTCACGTAGGAATTTAGCAACCCCCCATATATGGACATTGGAGTTTGCGCAGTGCGGGTGTAATGCTTTGCGACCCCTCCATTATATGTAAGCGCCACACCCAGACCCTTGAATCATTCCGTCGGAAGCTGCCTAAGGAGAGAGTAGAAGATTCACCCCACCCACCTCCCCTGGTGGCGGGTTGACGACGCATCGCATTGCTTTTCGCATGCTCATTGCCAGCAGTCGCGGTCACCTTCCGTATCTTAATTCCCGTGACTCGGTAATGACTATGCAGTGAGGATAAAATACTAGAGCGCCACCAAATATCCTTGAAATAGTACTAACTAATTAGTTCTTAGTATCACCAATGTAACAATTGAAAAACAAAAGAAATCAAGTTTTTAGTGCTATTTAGTTTTTGTGCTATTTCACAGATGCATGGTTTGCACTCTAGCACGCGCACAATCGTACAATCTGTCGTCGCGACAAAATAGGGTTTTGGTGAAAGTCAATCAAACCCATTTCCAAGATATTGTCGGAAAAGACAGTATTTTCAAAGGGCACCTGCTCAAAACGACGCCACAACGACTGCGCGCGTACTATTGAGAACAATTCAAAGAAACAGTTCCATAAAGTCCTAGTCACGGCGCCATTTTTCAATTGAAGGTGTCCTATAACGCACAGAATTCGAGAAAAGCAAAAAAAAACAAAAAAACTAAAGATCATACATACTATACTATTCACAATTGAAGGGCGTGTTCGACTGCTTTTCCATGCTGGAGTATGGAACTTTATTTCAGAGTAATTCACTTTCCACGTAAGCTTTGTCAGCTCTTTCTCGAACTTTCTTTTCCTGCGATAAAAGTCAATTTTGATATTTAGATTCTTGGCTTGCTACTATATTTTACTCCATTCCGAGGTTTAGAAAAAACTTGGGTCGAGTTTGCATTTTAGTACATGTCTGTGCATTGTGGGGCTGTCTTAGGGAACATATTTCCAAGATGGCGTCTATATCGTCCACTAAAAGAGTCCCACAATGCGCTGCAATGCCAACTCGACCCAGTCCCCCCAGTTTTTCGCTAATAATGCAAAAGAAAAACTTTAATGAAATGGGAAAGACATTGTGCCGTAAAATGACATGATAGAGACAACAATGGCTAAAGGAACGTCTTTCGTTTGGGGAACAACATGGCGACGACCTTAAAGAGAGTGACAGGAGTGGAAAACCTGAAATTCATGCTAATATTCAATATCTTTTTATCGATACCCTAAACAACTTCTGCATGGGATTATCAAATTCGAGTCACGACTAATTTACAGATTGAATTTGGTGCGTTAGGTTTTGTGAAGGGAGAGAAAAAGGATGGCGTATGTTTCTGGTCCTCAAACATTCCCAAGACAATGAAATAACAAAAGACACGGCGGCCATGTTGGTGGATATAACAAAAGAGACTAATGACGAATCTTTCGTTACATTCATCCAACATGGCGGCCGTCAAAGCCATCAATAAGATGTTAGGTTTCGTTTTACCTGTAGATTATTACCAGTAGAATGGAAATCGTCACAATCAGAGCAAAGCAGATTACAAGCGTTACGATCAGGTACGTTAAACTATTGTCTTTCTCGGGAGCTTTAACATGAAAAATTAAAGGGAAAAACGCCGTTAAAATTTCACTCAAAAAGGACCAACTTAATTTATGTCAAATATTCAGGTGCAACTTTCAAAAGACAGCGAGATGGCAAAATGGGCAGCCATGTTGGATGATACTATATCAAGTGAAACGAACGACAAATCGGCCTTAAGTATATAAGTATATAGATCCAAGATGGCGGCTGTGATGACGTCACACAAGCACCAACAGGTATACCTGTCGTACTACGATATCCGAAGGTATTTGTTAGCAGGGAAGACATAAGGGACTTTTATCATAAATCGCATGGTTTCCATAGTAACGTGGTGCTTACTCGGTTTTGATATAGGGCACAACTCCTGGTTGAAACCGCATTCTGGTGAATCTGCGGGCACGCGTGTTTGCCCCGTGTCAGACCACGTGAGTGTCTTGTTCTTCTGCAGTTCTAGTATTTGACTGCCGTTGGAGTCGATAAAAAGTTCACCGACTTCAAGCATTTCTGACAAAGAAAAGATGAGAAAAATAAACTGGAATGAGTAAGATTGTGATTTTTTTGGGTAAATATGGTAATAAATAAATCATGGTCATTTTCATTTAATGGGGGAAAAAAAAAACTCGTCATCTCAAATGCACCACCATAAGTACAGCAGTGGCGCAGCTCAACGGGGCAGAACTGAAAGCATGTGAACAGTCGATCATCAGAAGACACATTAAATATGGATACAACTCAAACAAAGAATCTTCTTCTAGTATGCAAAAAACGTTAACCGATAGAAATTAATCGCATTCACAGAAAACTTACCGTTTTCTTCTCGTTCATTTTTCTGGAGACTAAACAATGTCATGTTGAATTCCGCATCGCCATTTTTATCTACGCGAACGTCGAATCCCGTTATACCTGAAACAAGACAACACATTTTCTTGTCGAAACCTGCACCTTGCTAGCTCTTGGTTTTTTTGTGTGTACTGAGACTCTTGCTTTTGTCTATCTCGATCGGTACCAAAGAAATATCCTTTTGAGTATGCGCCGACATATAACGTGGCAAAACGTACGTTCTCTGGTAAATATTGAGTCCGCGATTTGCGTGCGCATAACTTAATAAACTTGTAAATGATCATAAATGAGCTTACGAGCTTATTTGCTTTTTGCTACTAATTGGACTTTATTTCAAAGATATCCTTACTTTGATAGCTAGTTTCTCGAATGTTCCCAAACACAGCGGTTCCATTTTTAGGGTCCAGTCCTTGAGCAATTGTTTTATTCACGGCCAAGGCGTAGAGATAAACAGCGTCATATAAATAAGCAGAGTAATACAAAGCCTGTTAAAAAAAAAAAGTAATAGACAAGCATTATATCCTGGGTTGTCGGCTCTAGGGGAAGCGGGGGACCAGAAGAGGTTATCCTCCTATCGTTTAGTGCCAAATCCCGCTAGAAAGCCTGTTTACTCGGGCTTCATATAGGCAGTAATTTTATCGCTTACTCGGGCTACATGTAGGTAGTAATTTTATCGCTGTCTTTTGCTACTGTATACTGGTTGGACCGGCGGAAGCTGTGTCGTGATTATGCTGTGTGGAATCCTTTCGACAGTGGCTTAAATCCGCTTAGTACATCACACTAAATCAACGGACCGTGGGCAGATACTAGAGAGTTTTAGATTGACTTTTTTTCTTCCCGCAAAAGGCAAACGTGACCACGTTTTCATCGTTTTCATGTACTTAACTTAACCTCTTGCAAACTTTCTCACCGAGCGCAAATACTCTTTTGTTTTTCTACTACTTGGACTTTTTTGCGATTCTTTCTCACCTATTTAAAATAATTTTTCACTGGTCAATTGACGCTTCACGTTTGCCATCTAAAACTCTCTACTAAGAAAATACCCCCGCTCAAACAGCTAATCAGAACGCACGATTTCCATAATACCGCAAACCGGAAAGAAAAAGCCAAATATACACATAGTTTCTTACTATTTGTTGCTCTTTTCCGTTATTAAAAGGGTATTCCTTGAACTTTTCAATCACATGTTTCTCGAACCGTGCGTATTTGGTTCTATTGTAGGGTCTGGGTACTAGAGCCAGCACCGAATGAAAAGCCTTCTCTGCAACGTCCTTGTGAAGTCCGGTCATTCCCTCCCACCATCCGTCACGTGACGTGAATGTCAGGTACTCATAGGTCAGTTCGTTGATGATGTAAACGTATTCGCCATTCGTCATGCCTTTTCTTTGGGCAGCAACTAGAAATGACTGGACGTATGATATACTAGCTGATAGGATTACGACTGCAAAAATTTAAAAAATATTGTGGTAGGTAATTGGAAGAATGGAGGGAGGGAGGGAGGGAGGGAGGGATGGGTTGATTTATCAGTGAATGAATAAATAAAGAGAAAAAATAATTGGTCATTGCTATCACAAGATGTATTTAGCTTTTAAAACAATATAGATATAATTTTTTTTAAACAAGGAAAAGTTATAGCAATTTTTTATTGAAATATTAGTTTTTCCTCACTTCTTGCTTTTTTCTTTATCTCCTGCAAAATAACTCTCGTCTTGTTCTTCTCATGCTCCTGTGGTAAAATATCTTCATACGAGACTTTTATCCCATGAGCATTGAATACGTTTTTCATGTCTTTCTTCGTACGAAGCCAGCCCATATCATTAGTACATAATGCTGGGTTGCAGTAAAGAACAGCGACTACTCTCCAGTCGAACCTCTTTAGGATAGCCAAGACACTTTTACTGGATTGGGCATTGGGAGGTCTCGTTCGAGCAAATGTAGGGAACAGGGCTTTATTGGAAACTGCGTCTTTCGTGCAAAACTGAAAAACAAAACTTAACAGGTCATGTCATTATTTAGGTCAGAGTTGGAATACTTTTATCTGCAAGCGAAAATTTTTCTGCACGAAAATTTCGCTCATAGAAATCTTGGAGGAAGAGCCAAAAGGCATCATTTTGATTAAGGTTTTTGTGGAGTTTGAGGTTTAAAAGACGATGAAATCGTGGTTTAAAGTGAGTTGTTTGTTCGAATATGGCTGAAGTTTCCTCCCTTGTCGAATATACACACACAAGATCGACATTAGATACCATAGGGAAATTATATAGGAAAACAAAGGCGAGCGCGAAACTAAATGTTCTAGTGCATTTTTTATCGATTTTTTTACTCTTTCACATTACGGAGGACATTATCTTGACCTCCAATTAAAAAAAATTCAATATTTTTAAATTTTTCCGATTTTATTTTCGCCATTCGCTTTAATCTAAATTGGGCTCCCTGTGGTTTTCTTTCTATTTCTTTGTGCGCGCAATATTTCCTTAAAACTTTGCCACACTCCACACGAAACATGAAAAGCATCGTGGCCTGACTCGTTCCCGGTATATTAGAGAGACGACTGGGGACGAGTCGGGCATGTGGCTACTGATAAAGAAATTAAGTTAATCAGAAGTTTTAAGATCGAAACGGAATCCATGTGCCTTATGCCCAATGTGTCATCTTGTACTCTTCTCTAGCTATTTTGTCAAAATACAAAACCATGGAATCAGTTACGAGCATGCGCAGTAACACAAAGGGAGAAGAGAAAAAAACATGCTAGTCGGYGTTTTGTATAGATTTCCTGTTTCCACAGTTCTTATCCCTATGATGCATATCAGTGGAATAACATATAGATGCCTTAGAGGATAATCACTTTCACTCTTAACAAACAGGTTCTTCCTGTAATTTTTTTGTTAATTCATCTGGCGTGCTTTAGAATTTTGAATTGTGTATTTAGCGTGATCAAATCTAATTCTGATATCTTTAGCTTTATACCACGTGACAACAGCTGGGAGCAAGTTTTCGAAAAAAAACTCAGAATTGTCTTCGTATTTGATAATATTATCAAAATCATTAACACTATTAGAGTGATGAAGTAATTCTTGGAGTGATTAAATTCTTACCGGAAGTACTTGTCAGAACTGTCGAATCCCTCACAGCACATTTCAAGATCACTTAACGGGATTCATTTCCTTTCAGCCCTTCAGTTATAAAATGTTCAATATCTTTATCTATCACCGTGTTTTTGACATCTTTGGGCATCTTTTAATTCATGTAAATTACACCTGGAATATCTTTTCGATCTTGTGATGTCAAATGACGGAATACGACGGTGTGTAAACAGGAGATTTTCTGTCTTATAACGAGTCAATAAAGCTCAAAAAACATTTTTGAAAAGTCATAAAATCATGTCATAAGATTATAAAAAAATCCTCAATAACTACTATATTTCTTAAACTACCACCTCAATTAGTGCAAATTTTTGCTTAATAGTGCATTAAAGTTTAACTATAATACAATGATTAGACTTACATAAGAGACAATTGGGATATTCCAAACAGCTGCCATTCTAGCTGCAGTAATGCAGTCGTTCTCATCTCCAGGTCCTATAAAAACGTCTACTCCTTTGTTATAATGCTCTGTCATAGCCTTTAAAGCCACGGTTTCCAAAGACTGCGTATCATTCCACAGAAAAGTGAGTTTTGTAAAAGGAAATCCGTATGCCGTCGAGTTGTTGTTTATGGCGTCCAGTGCGACCGTAAAAGCAGAGCCGAACGGAAGAGAGACTGTGATACTCTCTGTTTTGCTCGTTAAAGGATATAAAAAACTTAGGCGAAGCTCCCTAGGATTCACCCTTGCAATAACTAAACGCAAAACAGAAAAAGCTATCAAAATAAGAGTGTTTTGGACAAGCATAGTCAAAGAATTGAGAGGTTAGAAGTTCATGTATTTTGGAACTGAATACAGACAGGAAGAAGGTTCAAGAAAAGTTAGCATGTTACGAAGGATAGCAGACCAACCAATCAAATCGTCAGAAAGACCCGCGAAATAAATAGCAGCAATCTGCCGCGTGTACCGGAAAAAAGGAATCGAATTTCATCCGTTCTATTTTTTCACTTTTTACCTCGAGAAAATAATAATAATTCATGAAAATTAATATACAACATTTTAAAAGCATTTTCATTTATTCAATGCCCAATATGATTCATATTTAAAAGATTTTTTTATCATTAAATAGCAATATTTTATAGTACCTTTGAGGCTTTCGCGTTCATACATGATATTCAATGTAAGATATTTACGGATAAAACGCGTAGATTTTTTGAGAACATGATGTTTCGGCTATAACAAATGTTAGTCTTCATCATGCTGATTTTGATGAAAGCTATCACTGGTATAGTTATAGCCCTTCCGAAAAATCTATCCGTAATCTTAACTTACATTTAATAACAATATTCTAATTTTACCAAATGAAAGTAATAGCACGAAAGACAATAAAACTTTTTAAAAAACATGATTAATGATTTTAATTGACTCGACATATTTTTCTTTTTGAAGAATGGACTTAACTTCTCTATTCGACCTTCAAACTGAATATGATGATCTTCGCTGCCTTTGATTCATTACTCTATGAAAGAAAAAATAAAAAATAAAGAACACTCTTGAAAACGACATGAAAAGGCCGAAACATGTCGAGTCAATTAAAATCATTCATCGTATTTTTAAAAGTTTTATAATATTCTAATTTCTAAGGAATACATAGCCTTCAATAGAAAATCTCATTTTGAAATTTGAGATACTTTAAATGCAAATGATAATTCGTCTAGAACATTTTTTTTATTTGCAAATATTGTTTTGACAGGTGTTACTGTCGTTTTGAAGGCGCTAGGAAAAGATCCCAAACGCTTTTAGTCTCTTGGACAACCTCTTCACCAGAGCCGTTATTTCTTATTGCGCATGCGCTAGGAAACAACTATATCTTTTGAGCATGCGCATAGAGAAATACAGGCTCCGTTGACGAGATTCTGTCTCAGACATCTTGAGATTGAAGTATATTCAAAATACAACTTCAATAAATTTTAGAGATGATAATCAAGTATTCAAAATGGCGTCTTACCATATTAAGATTAGACGCGCAAGCTGATGATTGGTCGTTGAGAACGCTGAGTGACATAGAATGTATCTTAACCAATCATATGCTCCTTCGAAGCTAGATTAGAAAACTCGCCTCTAGACTCTTCTCCAAGAGATTTGGTTGAGAAGGAATCTCGTATGACATAAGTTATGATAGAAAATTTCTCTAAGCCACAAATAGCAGCACAATTTGAAAACCGACCTAAATATTTAAAAAAATAGAGGTCTTATATATCGTTGCACAATCGTACAACTATAATTTTAAGATGTTTTTGATATATAAACTATAAAAGAACAAATATACTAATTTGTATAATAAATATTAAATTTCATATTTTCATTGTCATAGCCCTTCGTTTTTCCTCTTAGCGAACACTTAAATAAACTGAAGGCAGAAAAAGTGCGCATGACTGAAAACACTGCCGGATTTTTTTATGCTGGTCACATGCTGACTTCGAAATCCGTAGAAGTCAGAAGCAGGAATAATTTAAACATTTTAAACTAATTTTGAGAATTTTTTTGTCACCGAATTCTTCCATCAGCCTTGACTTTCCCGATGGCAGATTTTGGATCAGGTGACCTTGAACTCCATTCAATCTCACTACAGGGAGTAATCCGAAGGCAGTCAGGAACTTCGCCCTCAACAAGACAAGTACCTTCAACTGTCCAAAATTCACCTACTACTTTATCAATCCATCTATCCAGCTCGTCTCCAGACTTCCTCGCATTTATAGTGGCTTCCTTAGCCGCAGCTTCTGTATTGTTGGCCTCGCGGTCAAATTCAATCAAAAAATCATTTGTGTTGTATATTCCCCCGGGGGGACCATGGTTGGTTTCCATTGCTCTTTCAACTGGCGCACGCGTCCCTTGGTAAAAACCGAGAGGAATGACCAAAAAAGTGGTTTCACCAATGACCATGTCTTCACCTTTTTGTGTGTAGATCATCTTAAGCGTCCATTTTCCTGGTCGCATTGGTTTCTTAAATGCAGGCTTGTGAAACGACACAACCCAGTTGTTAACAACGTGCATCTCGTAGACTCCTGAAACGACGTTGATAGGGTCTACCCACATGATCTTGACATCAAACTCTTCTCCGTGTACCCAACGATGCACGAGGATAGGATCGTCATATGGACTGATGAGACGAGCCAAGTTCCTGAAGACGCGTTCTTTTTGATCCCACCCTGTACCAACCTTCAAAAGAGAGTTAAGGAATAAATGAATAAATAAATGAAACGGGAAGAAAGAGAGGGAGGAACGAACGAACGAACAAAGGGAGCTAGGAAGAGAGAGGACGCAAGGTAGAAAAGAAGAAT